CAATATACAATCATGGGGGAAAAAAAAATCATACTTGCTGTTGGAAAGTGCAGTAACAGAATGCAGTGAGCTACATTGTCAACAATAAAGGTTATGTTTGAAAAATGCAGGGAGAAAAAACTTTCTAAAAGTTCAAGTCACAAGTTGCACAATGGATAGAGTTAACCAGAAAAACATAATGCTGAGAGTTAAGAAATTTAACATCAAAAAAGAAACTGAGAAAGGAGTTTGAAATGGCAGGAAGTAATAAACTAAATGTCAAATATATATTCTCAGCAAACAGCTAAACACAACTACACAGATATCAGAAAGGAAGTAATGACATGACAGAAAATACATTAAAATCGATGATACTTTGTGAACACAGAGACGTCCAACAAAGTGGTTGTATTTCCAGGGTAACTGCAAAAGGACTGAAGAGTCTGAAATTCAAGGTAGTAAAGGGAAACAAGGCACCAGGCCAAGTTGTACTTCCTACAGGCGATCCATGAAACTGGTCATGGGCATAGCACTGTTGCTGGGAAATTGTTAGAAATGGGAACAGTACCTGATGATTGGAAAGTAGATAAAAGATAAAATGAATTATTTTTAAAAAGTACAAGGACAATCAAGGAAACCAAAGACCCAGAGAGAGTCTGACATCTGCTGTGGGCATGTTCTAGAACAGAAACTTAAGGAGGCACTAATCAAATATCTAAATAAAGTTGGTGAGGAAATCAAGAGTCAGTATGGAATTCCAGGAAATAAAACCTGACAATTTAAGTCACGTTCGACTCAAAACACAACGGTTTCTCTTTCCACTGATGCTGCCTGGGAATTATGAGAGTGTGATCATGCTTAACAAACTTACAGCAAGTCCTTAGGACTTGCTGAAAATAGAAACTCCATGGCTGTGATACAGTCTTTCAGTTGAACCACTTCAATTCCGAGAACTCATAGCTTCTATTACTACCAGACTTTCACTCTGATTAGGGCTGACATGTAAATAATGATATTCCAAGTTAATACAACTTGCGTTGCATTGTTATTCTTTTGATGTTATTTGAAATTTTCCTCAAAACTTTTTTAAAATAAACAGATTCTGTTCACGCTCACAGGTGCTCTGCGCAAAGGCCAAGAAATTTTGGATGTAACTCCATTAGTTTTGCCAGTCAAGGTTAATAAAAGGTACCATTAACATGGGAGACAAACAGGAAGTGCACATATCATATTTACCGGGACATCATGGAATATTACCAGCCAGCACTCGCACAGCAATGCCATGGAAACAAAGGAGAGTGCTGCCCCCAGCAGTAGGTTACCATGCAAGAATAAAATCTGAGAAATCCTGAAAAGGATATAGTGTAGCAAATCTGCACAAGACCACACCCAATGTTCACAATTAACAACTACATATTACTACATAATACCAATTACTATTACAATTATATGTTGCTTGTAATTTAATTTAAAAGTCTACATTGCACCCCCCATACCACTAATAAAACATTGTGGTGAATTGTAATATTGGATCGTATTCAGCAAACAATAGCTAGCTACTGGATTAGATCAACATCAAGTCACAATATGCTCAACGATATGTGAAATAATGCTCAGGTAGTTAATGTTCGAAATGGCTTGGTATGAATAGGGACAATTTCTCCAATAAGATATCTTAATTAAAATAAAGTTCAAATGTTGTTTGAAAACATTAAGCAGCTCTCAGCCTTGATCTCTGAAATACAGGTGCTTTGTTCCTTCATTTCAAAATTCTCTTCTTTTTTCTCCCTTACATCCTACTCCAAACAAAGTGCTGGTATGTGTCCAAAATCTAATGGCCTATGAAATGATCACTAGAAAGTTGTCAAGTGACTCAGAACAATTTGCCCATCTTTGGAAACGTGCCTAGTATCATTAATTGCTCGTATTTATTCAATGCTTTTAAACCAACAATAATGTCCTAGGCCTATGATGCTTCATAGTGACATAAGTGAAAAGTAAACGTTAGGTTGGAGGTGCAGACAAAAATTCAGTTAAATAAGGGCACTAAAATCAGAGGAAAACCTTACAATGGTTGGAATCAAACACAACACAGGAAAATTATGGCTGTTGGAGACCAATCATCCCAGCTCCAAGACATCACTCTAAAGATAGTTTAAGGGTAGGCTTTTTCTAATCAAGAGAAAAAGGTAGGGACATTACCACTGCACCACAAGACCCCCTAAAATATTAACTTATCTCTGGAACAGATGGATCTGGAGTCCAGGCCTTCCATTGGAGGGGTAGGGACACTAAACTACAGCACAAGCCCCCCGACCTTCCCTCCATCATAAGTTTAGAGGAGGTGTTTTTTGATGACAGCAGAGTGTTCGATTCCTCAAATGAGGCAGTCAGTCAACCTGCTAAATAATTAGCATTTTCTCTTCTCTCCTGTAGTACAAGTTGTTGTAATAGTTTTAAATTTGGCATTCTTGCATTTATCTCGATGAGCGCGAAGTGAAAAGCTTCAGCAACATATCTAATTTTTCAGCAGAATTCAAAATCTGTACTGTCAAGTGTCTAATAATTCAATTTCTGCAAATGATGTCATTAAATGGCAAAATCCAAAAGCAGAGAGAACCAAGGACAGATCTCTAAGGAATTTGAGGATATGATGTACGCGAAGGAAAAAAGCCATTGGTAGAAACATTCTGTTCAAGTAAAATTGCTTAGCCTCTTTCTGCTACGAGAAGGATGAAATCTGACTGCAAGGATTTCAACAAAGTCGAGGGAGAAATAAACATTGATTAGGTCACAACACATTTGATCCTGGTGCTGAGATGGGTGAAGAAAGGAAGACTGAAATAAAGTAGTAGCTTGAAAAGGACAGAAGGTCAAAGGTTGAGGTAGACAATGGAGATTTTGAATAGAAAGAGTATCAACTACTTTGTTGGGAGGTCAGCATCTAGACAGAACACGGCCAAAGGAGCACAGATGGGCCTCAAGAATGACATCAGTTTGCTAGAGGGAGGGGTGGGTAGCATGGTGGGATATGAGCATTCAAAGCTAGGAAGATGGGAATTAGCTTCTTGGGTAAGAGGATGGTAGAGGCAGAAGCAGCCTTTAAAAGATGACCTCTACTGTACTTTGGTGTCAAAGGAAATCATGAGTTTCTCAGACTTTGAAGCTCTTCAACATTTTTCATTTCCATTGCATTACTGAAGTACAGAATATCTCCGCATGCATTCTTTACGAATTACAGATTTATGTTAAGTGTATCTATTTATTGTTGTTAGATGTTTTACTTCAGCACCCAATGTGCTGCTGGGCAAATCATCTGAATCTTCAGCTCTCAGCGTAATATAATGATATTAAATATTTTGAAATATTTAGCACCAACTCCCCTCCAATGGGGAACTAGCAGGTCATGCAGGATCATCCCACAAATACATTGTCTTATATTATGTCTTGTATGAGGACAGGAATCCTGGGTTAAGACACTTGCCAATGGAGAGCTGCATCACAAAGTACAATGAAAAGACAGAAGAGGATAGAATCACTCAACAAAACCTCAAGGTCAGGAATTCTTGGTAGTCCATTATCCCACAGAATTCTGTACTTTTCTCTAATCACCAATTCTAACAAACAGCATGAACAACAGCAACTTGTCGAGTTTTTAACACAGTAAAACATCCAATGGTACAGCAGAGAAACAATGATGGTGAGCAATAGTGGGTTGCAGAAGATGACTCAAAGTATGATCAAAAAACTCCATTTTGAATGGACATTTTATACTCATGTCTGTTTTATTTCTTAAAAGCATATTCAATAATTCTAAATGAATAAAATAAGAAAGGCTTTCATGTGTAATCTTTTTCAAGACCACCAGATGTTTCAAAGTCCTTTACAGCAAACTAATTATTTTCAGTACAGTCACTACTGTAATGAGAAAACATGGCAGCCAATTTACAAACAGCAAACTCCCACAAATATCACTGTGATGATGACCACAATGTGATGTTGGAAATGGTTAAATATTTTCCAGAACACTATGGAAAACTCAAATAAAACCAAAATACTGCAGCTGCTGGAGATCTGAAATAATAACAAAGTGCTGGAGAACTCCACAGGTTAGGCAGCATCTGTGGAGAAAGAAACAGAGTTAATGTTGAGCCCCTTGACTATTTTAAATTAGGACCCGATGCTAATTCTGTTTGTCTCTCCACAGATGCTGCCAGACCTGCTTAATTTCTCCAACACTATTTTATACCAGGGATAAATCCCCTGCTCTTCTTCAAAATAGTTTCAAGAGGTTGTTACACCTGACTGAGTAGGAAGATGAGGACTGGGTTTAACACTTCAGCTGAAAGACTGCTCCTCCAACAGCACAGCACTCAGTCAGCACTCCACAGGAGTGTTAGATCTGAGTTTTCGGCTCAACCCTTCAATTGGATTTGAATCCAAAAACTTGTGACTTAGAGGTAACAGAGCTCCCAATTTGAGCCAATCTGACACCATCAAACCCCAAGGATAAAAGGATGTAAACTAGTGTTTGTGAGCACCAAATAATAGCAAGTATAGGTCTCCTCAATTATTCTTTGAAACGTGTCTGTTTACAAAAGATTTTTTTAAAAAGCCAATGAATGTCTGTTTGCTGCCGAGATCATACAATTTTCCACAAGTTCTTCTATTCAGTCAGAAATGCAATTCCAATTAAATACTGGAATTTAATATTGTCTACAAAGAGGGAGGAATATAAAAACATTAAAAAGAAGCGTTGTTGGGCATGACTTATGTAAATATTATTACTGTACAATTATGAGTGCGAGACTGAAATTGTTGGATTAGGTTACCTACCAACATTAATTACAACAGAATATCTATGGATCAAGTGCTTGAGAAGCAGAAAAACAAACACATTTGATAACAGTTTATTGACTTCTAAAACAAAATTAACACATGCATGCAAATACTATAAACACTGCAAACTGTACTTCATTTGGCAAGGCTAAAATCTATATCACCTCCTCTTAAATTCTTACCTGTATAGCCTGCTGTCCAACCCCATGAAGACACCATAGCCAGCAGCCATTTGAACATTATTCCTTCAATGTGCCAGAACAGCTTACTATTAATCAGTTTCAATGGCTGAAGAACTATGAGATACAAAACATAAGATGGAATTGCAACCAGGTTGTTGACAACCATAAAAAGAAATCGGATCGTGCCTTTCACGAAAACCCAGCTACCATGTTGTATTTCCTTTCTATTCACTGCCATGCCTCGACTGAGCCCTGCAGAAACAATGATAGATTATTGCACAAAATGAAAAACAAAAGAAAAAAAATCAACACAATTACAAATTGTATGTTCTACACAATATCATAAAAGTGGTATTGTTATTTCTCGTGGTCACTTAATTTGTACTAAAGCCCGAAATTTGTTATAACTTTTCAGATCATCGTTCAAAAATACTGGTGACAGGGAGCTAAAGGAACTCCGAAGAAAAGTATTGGTATCCATCATACATGAAAACTGGCCAAAAGAACAAAAAAAGGGAGATTATGTTTTTGATCAATTGTAATTGCTGAATCTTATCACATTATTACCTTTCAATGCTAAATACTATGAAGCAGAACTCAGCAATTGCATAGCTTGCAATGAAGTCTGAGAAATATCTAGGGATCAAAGCAGCTAAGGGCAGTAGTTGTCAAGGTCTTAGTGAACAATTCAACCAAGTTCAAAATGTAACTAATGAAACAAACTGTACAAAACTGAAATCAGTCAAAAGCTGGATACCTTTATCACAAAAGCCTATGTGAAAGTGTGGTACGTGCACAATATTCAGCCATACTAAATCTGCAGTTATGTTCCATTTCTGGAGTGGGATTTACAGCTAGCAACGCTAGGCTTATACTCTAAATGGTACACCAGCTACCAGGAATAAGCTTTGCAACTTCAACAGAAACATTTATTTTCAGTGCAAGTGCAAGCCTTCGCTTTTTCCAAAACACTTTTTTATATTACAAAAGCCTCAAAATTCAATTGCCTGAACACTTTTTGAACTGACACTGCACTAGATTATACTTCCCTCAGTGGGGAACCTAAACATATCTGGAGTCTCTTACTTGAGCCACTGCATACTCACACCAGATTGAGATCTGATTGGAGACTTCTCGTGCAAGATAGCAGAAATGTTATACTGTACTATTAATCTATATTATCTACAATTAATTTTTAAAAGCTGTACCCTACATTTGAAAGCACAACATAGTACATATCAATAAAAAAAAAAAGAGGTGCAATCATGGAGCCACTATTAGTAATACCAGTTTAGTCCAAAAGCCAAAGTTACTTCAAAATTGCAATTATAAAATCAGTTTTATATTGGGAAGCTTTGCCAGAAAGAAAATGATTAAATTGTAAACATACAAATACCTCTAACTGAAATTTTCTTTACTGAACAAAATCCGAAATGTGAAATACTGTACTTATCTACTCCATTCACCATACATTTACTTTATTTTTACAAAAATTGTAATGATATCTCATAATGCTACAGCAAAGAAATCAGGGAAATACAACTTGGACTAAGGATTCAGTTTAACAAAAATGTTGCTTTTCCAATTAACAGTTTCATAATATAAGAACAAGAATTGAACTATCAAGTGTAATTGGAAAGAAAATTAACCTCAACATATTCAACAGGAAAAAGTGTCAAATGTCAACTTTTGAAAACTGCACTTCAACAGGCACTTCGAACGAGCCTACTATCAGTGGAGTGATACTGAAGTAGTGTACGCCCAGTTGCGTCATTTTACATTTCAATTTCCTTTAAACTGTTTAACAAAAATAAACAATGACTTTGGGCTAAAATAGACAAAATTAAAAGCTAGTCCTAGACTAAGTTTGCGATTCTAGGCTAAATGCAGATTATCTACATTTGGGAATCCTGGGCAATGAATCTTGTAGATTACATGCGTAAAGGTGCATTTTATCTCTAAACATCTCGTCCTCGGTCGTTCATTCATTCTGATCACAACTGCCAAAAGACAAGTGACTTACTTTTTCTGTTGCTTGGATAATGTCTGATACATTTGCTTATGACTTCCACGCCCACGTTTGGGGGTGGGGGGGGGTGAGAAGAAATAAAGCAGAACTAAAATTTCCGAACCCTCTTTCCAACATAAGTATGAAACACAGCCTTACCTATGCTGCTGTGGCCCAGTGTCTAAAAGTGGAAATAAGACCGAAATGAACAGAACAGCTAGAGAACGCTGGACGGTTACTATAGTGGCAGCTGAGAGGTCATGGACTGATCGGCTGGGCGGTTACTCAAAGATATGACGGGGATGAGCATCAGCTGCCTGAAGCCACTGGGCCAAGAAGAAGCTGGTTTCCTTACTGATCTGACAAAAATGACGAAAATACAAATAAAACAATCGGTAATTGATATCGTTCACAACATCCGCACCTGACAAGTGACAGTGTCGACCCAGCCCTTACTTGATGCCACGCTCGTTTTGGAAGGAGACTTTAAACCTGTGATATTCACTTTCAAGCCAATCAACTACAACATTAAACGTTATCTCCTTCTCCAACCGCCCGCCTTTATGAAAAAAATACAAATAACCTCCCGATCTTAATCCTCTCTGACCCTCCGTATAAAGATATAAACTGCCTAGTTGGTTTCTCGATACAAACAGACAAGCAGAATTAAACCCTCTGGAAAGACAGGAGACAAAAAAAAGGACCTGGCTGCTTTAGTGTCTAGAGGGTTGTAGCCCGGTCCTCCCTGAAGCAAAGCTCGACCGTGAACGAGAAGTAAGCAGCCCTGCTGAACAACTGACACACATACTGTCGCGCTCACATGGCTCCAGGCGCTCGCTGCAGCAGGCTCGCGGCTCAGCGCGGGGCGGGGCCGGGTGCTGCGCAGTCACCGCGCGCCCTTCCAGAACCCGGGAGCCCGGCACATTCCGTTCCGAGAACCTTCTTGTCTCTCCACTTACAATCTCTGGGCCTTCACGTAAACCGGCCGCGACCCGCGCACGCCCCAACAGCTCCCCCACCCCACATACGCACGACGCACTGTGTCCGTGACGCGCTGCCGAACAATGGCAGAGAACGCTGGGGCAAAGCGAGGAAGTGAGCGGTGCCGGGGCTCTTTCTGAAACCTTGACGAGGTGGGAGAACGCTGACAGCATTCCCTGCCTCCGCTCCGGGTAAAATATACCCGCTGGCAACGGTATCCTGGCCACAAGCTGCTGGAAATCCGACAGCGTTCGTGCGTCCGATTTTAGCTCAGCGTGTGAGTTTTACTGAGTTAAAATCGGGTTCAGTGTCAATTACCTTTGAAAGTGGAAGGAGTTAGCAACAGAAATGTCACTGCATACGGGGAGCCATTATCCTGCCCTGTTCGTGCCAACCAAAGGCTATCCAGTTCTCGGTGTTTAGTCATATAGTCACACAGCACAGAAACAGACCATTCGGTCTAACTCGTCCATGCCGACCAAGTTTCCTAAACTAAACTAGTTCCGTTTGCCTGCGTTTTACCCATATCCCTCTAAACCTTTCCCATTCATATCCCAAATATCTTAAATGTTGTAGCTGTACCTGTAGTTACCACTTCCTCTGGCAGTTCATTTCCGCATACGAAGCACCCTCTGTGTGAAAATACTTTGTCCCTCAGGTCCGTTTTAAATCTTGTTTCCTCTCACCTTAAACATACCGCCCCTAGTTTTGAACTTCCCCACCCTAGGGAAAAAAATCCTTTCCTATTCACCTGATCTATGCCCCTCATAAACCTCATTAAGGTCAACCCTCAAAATGCATCTCAGACTAAGAGTGAAAAGAACTAGCAAAGGCTCAGACCATCTCTATTCAGTCCTCACTAGCTACAGATTGTGCTGAAGGATTGCTCAAGTGTAGCATTGTTTAAAACAAAAGGAAGGACAGACTAAATAACTACAATGGAGTCACTGTCATCCAGAAGTGGAAGAAACCTGCATAAATAGCCTTTAAGGCAAACATTAAAAGGTAAGTTTGCCCCAGGCTAATCACAACATAATTTTGTAACTCTACCCGCCTCTACCATTTCCTCTGGCAGCTTGTTCCATATTTGCACCACTCTCACCTGTAAGACACTGCGAGTTTATATTAAGTACTGTTAAGCTTCCTTGTTTCTACATCTGCTGCGCACTATGCCCTGGATAAAAATGATCCCCTCAACTCTCATCTGCAATTACTTTAAATCTGTGTCCTTGATTATTGAGCTGTTAGGAGAAATATGTCCTTCATAATTTTATACACCCTTCATCTTCAAATTTCAAAATCACATCATATTTAAATGTAATGGAGTCAGAGATAGTAGGAACTGCAGATGCTGGAGAATCCGAGACAACAAGGTGCAGGGCTGGCTGAACACAGCAGGCCAAGCAGCATCATAGGAGCAGAAAGGCTGACGTTTCGGGCCTAGACCCTTCATCAGAAAATTTAAATGTAAGGTAGATTTAGGCTTGCTCTACCATTCTGGATCATGGCTGATCATCTAACTCAATGTAATCTTCCCACACTATCTCCATTTCACTTGATGTCCTTAGTTTCTTGGAATGTATCATGCTCTGTGTGGAACATACTCAATTACCAGCAGCCTTCTGGGTTAGAGAAAGGACTGAATCACTGGATATTAAAAAGACTATGGGCTCAAACAACACTTTCAGCAATAGTCCTGCAGACTCGTGCTCCAGAACTAGCTATGCCCCTAGCCATGTTGTTCCAGTATATCTACAATACTGGTATTAACCCAGAAATATGGAAAATTGCCAATGTATGTCCTGTGCATAAAATGCAAGATAAATCTAAACCAATTTCCAGAAGATCAGTCTACTATCAATTTTCAGCAAAGTAATGGAAGGGGTCATCAACAGTGCTATCATGCAGCACTTCCTCAGCACTTAACTGCTCAATGATGCTCAGTTTGGGTTCTGCCAGGATCACCCCATTCCTTTCTTCATTACAGCTTTCATCCACACATAGACAAAAAGTTGAATTCCCCAGAGATACCCTAAAAGTGACTGTTCTTGACATCAAGGCAGTTTTTGACCAAATGTGGCATCAAGGAACCAAAGCAAAATTGGAAACGATGAGAATTAATTGGTTGCAGACATACCTAGGACAGAGGAAGGTGATTGTGGATTTTGGACATCAATCAGCTCAGTCCCAGGAAACTACTGCAAGCATTCCTCAGGGTGGTGTCATAGGCCGAATAATCTTCGGCCATATTGTCAATCAATTTCCCTCTATCAAAAGGTCAGAAGTGGGGATGTTCACTGAAGATTGCATAATGTTGGATACTATTCACAATTCCTCATGAGACACTGAAGCAGCTCATGTTCATGTGCAACAAGACTTAGACAACATCCAGGTTTGGGTTGACAAATGGCAAGTAACATTCATGTCACACAATGACTATCCCCAACGAGGAAGAATCTAATTGTTGCCCTGTACATTCAATGGCATTACCACTACTAAATCCCCTGCCATCAACATCCTGAGGTTAGCATTAACCAGAAACTGAACTAGACCAGCCAGATAAATTGTCTACATGAGAGGCTAGGAATTCTGTTGCAAGTAACTCACTCCATGTTCACCATCTACAATTTAATGGTGTAATGGAATATTCTTTATTTGTTTGAATTGGTGCAGCTCCTACAATACCAAGAAGGTCAGCACTATCCAAGAAAAAGTGAATTCCTGATTGGCACCTCATTCACCACTTTCTCCATTCACTCCCGTGCACAGTGGCAGCAATGTATACTCAACAAGGCTCCTCCAACAATACCTTACAAGCCCATTACCTTTGTCACCTCACAGAACAAAGGCAGCTGATGCATTGGAGCACCACCACTTGAACATTCCCCGCCAATCCACACACCATCCTGTTTGGGAACTGTATCAATGTTCCTTCACTGTTGTTGGTTCAATATCCAAGTCATCCTTCCCTAATTGGCAGTTCAAATGTACATATACTGCTAAGACTGCTAAAGTTCAAAAAGGCAGCTTATCACCATTTTGTGAATAGAGAATAGAGATAGACAGTAAATGCTGGCTAAGCCAGTGATGCCCAAATCCATAAATTAATAAAAAAAATCCTTCAGTAGAAAGGGGTTCAAAGTGCTGACATATTCTGCTCCATAGAAATTGCTTTAAGTCAGCACTTCTGTGCTAAACATACAGGTTTAGCCACTCCAGGCAAATTCAAACATTGTAGTAATTAGCAATTAAGATCAAAATTATGCGCTGAATGTGGACTTTCAAGCAAGCTGGCCTTATTAACTCGTTTGTGATTTATTTTCACCCATCGACAAAATAGATCCCTAAATCTAGGCTGATGCATCAAGTGCAGTACGAAAGGCATGCTACACTGTTAGATCTGCCCTCCAAGGCCCTGGACTCCCCTTTCAGGTGGTGACAAAAGATTCCCAAGGCACTATTTCAAAATAATAGCATAGGCAAGCTCTCCAAGTGATATATAAGCAGAAAATGTAAGAAATATTCAACACATCAGGCCCTACCTGTACAGAGAAAGAGAGTTAATGTTTCACATTGATTACCTTTTCTCATCAGACCAAATCTGTTTCACTGTTCTAGCCAATATTAATTTCATGACTTACCTGTCTAAAACAGATTATCTAGTTTTTAACTTATTCTATTTGTGAGAACTTACTGAGTGCAAATTGGCTGATATTTTCCAACTTTGGGGCAGGGACTACAATTCAAGATTACTATTTTTTCTGAAAGGATTTTAGAATGTCCTGTGGTTGTGAAAGTTGCAATAAAAGTGCAAATCATTCTTCTTCAGTCAGCATTCTGACCAGATTTTTTGCATTTACCTTAGAAGTTTAGGTCCCTGTGATTTTAAACACTACCAGCTTTAAAGGTGAAAAGTTCAGGGAAGCAGATCACTTGTGACTAGGTAAAGAGGGATTCAGAGGGTGAATTGAACTTTAATACCGAGTTATCTAAGCGTAAACCATTGCACTGATAAAGAATTGTAAATGATAACATTCCAATTCCCTTCATAACCAACAGTAAATCAATAATTCACTGTTGGTCTATGAGTAACTTGTAGTCCTGGTAGCCTATCTGTCATTCATAGTAATCTTGTAACCTGTTGATATATATTTTGAAAAATACAGCCAAAATCTCCCAATACTGCACAAGATGAAGTCTGCCTTTCCAGACATTGCTAGATTTTTATCAGCTGTGACTCACTCATCTTGAAGTCAGAAGATTTTGTGCTCAAGTCTCAGTACAGAGAGTTGAGTACAAAGGTCTAGACTAACTCTTTAGTTCTGCACTGAGGAAGAATTGCCTTCCTGATGTGCTTCCTTTCAGATAAAACATTAAACCACCTTTTCATGTGGGGATAAACGATTCCATTACACTATTTGAAGGAAAAGCGAGGGAGTTCTCTTTGATGTGCTTGCTAATATTATATCCACATCATTACAATAAATTATTTGGTCATTACGTTGATCATAAATTATTTGGTAAGTCCAAAGATGTGCAGGTTAGTTGCATTGGCCTTATGAAATTGTCTGTAGTGTTCACGGATGTGTAGGCTATTTGGATTAACCATGGTAAATGTGGATTACTGGATATGGTAGGGGACTGGCTGCTGTTAAGAGGGTTCGTGCAGGCTCAATGGGCCAAATGGCCTCTTTCTGCACTGTAGGGGGTTCTGTGATCCTACTGTTTGTAGAATTTGTTGCTTGTAACTTGACTGCCTTGTTCCTTACATTACAATGATGATTACATTTCACAAGTCCTTTAAAGATTTTAAGTTAATTGCTTTGGGACACCTGAGGTTATGAAAAACACAATAATTACCAGTCTTAGTTTTCTCTCCAACATTTGTAAGCTAGTTCCTGAGCTCAGACTTAATAAATTGGAAGTTTCATAGCATGTTAAAAAGGACAGCGCAAGAGGAGTCTGCCA